GAGGAGTCAGTCAAGCCCAGTGGTCCTTACACAGAGCTGGTCGGTTGCCCCATGTACCTGATGACTTACACTCGTCCCGATCTCACATACCCTCTCAGCATCCTAGCTCGCTTTGTGGCCACCGGCCGACACCAACCACATCACTGGTCGGCTGCTAAGAGAGTTTTGCGTTATCCAGCGAGTACATCGGGCATGGGGCTAGTGCTACGAGGACGCATGCCGGTGGTCCTTACTGGGCACACAGACGCTTCTTGGGCAGACGACACTGAGACCTTCAGGTGTTCCTAGGGCTACGGCTTCGGCCTTGGTTCGGGTGCCATCTCGTGGAGGTCCACTCACACCGGTGCCATGGCGGCACAGGAGCTCCGCTGGCTGACCATCTTGCTCACCGACTTAGGTGAGCGGCCTAGCTATGCCCCGGTCCTATACGCTGACAACAGGGCCATGATCCTCCTGTGTTAGGAGCCTCGACTTGAGGGCAGAGCGAAGCACATCCAGCTGCGGTACTTCCTCATGCGTGAGGTACAGCAGCGCCATCAGGCCCGCGTAGTGCACTTGGCCTCTGGTGCCAACACAGCTAATGTCTTTACTATGGCGCTTGCGCCTAAAGATCATCAGCGGCACTGCTTGCAGCTTGGTCTAGTTCCTGTGGAATCTCACTTGCTAGGACCTTGACTGTGTACTCCTCTTTATGCATATCTTTCAGACTAGCCTTGTGGCTCCTCTTCCAGTGGCTGGACTAGTAGTGCCACCCTAGTTTGCTCCTGTCTTGTTTGTACTCTTGCTGACTGGTCTTCGGACCCCTGCCTCAGAGGTCGGGCTAGTAGTGCCACACTGAGCTGTGTGCTTCTTGCTCAGCACTACCCCTTATCTAGCCTAGGGGGTGTGTCAACTTATACATACATTCTGCATATAGAATTTATAGGCTATAATAGGTGTATGTTCTTAGAAAGTATAATGCAACCCTATATCTAGCTTGTTCTCTCTTGTTTTTAGTTTATTCTAGTATTCTAACACATTTTTTATGTTGGGAAGAGAGTTGCGCCACTACGTCCCTCTCGCATGGTCAATGTGTCGAACATTTCCACAAGTCCATCAACGGTTATCTTGCACAATCATTGTATTCGAGTCGGCCATACTTCCCCCCGTTTTTTTTTCCCCTTTTTCTTCGAACAAGCGGATTTGAAATGAAGAGCAGAGCGTTGGAGAACTAGATTTGTTGTACGAGCTCTGATACCATGTTCGAAATCTAGTTCTCAAAACTAGAATGGGGATAAAAGGCTAAAAGGAAATTGCCAATATACCGAACTAAAGAGCCACAAGAGAAGCTACAAATTTCCAAGAAGCGATGGTACGAGGCTGAATAAGACGGTAAAACTGAAAGGTGGAGTAGGTGGTACGACATAAAGAGAGAATTTGGCAAAATTGGCTAAGGGGCATAGCCTCCGGCAGATGTTCAAGGCTTGGAAGTTGATTATAGAATAGAAGTTGAGAATGAGCATGAAATCTTAGGTCTTAGTGGTGAGGGAGCTGGGAAGCGATGCACTCGTCGAGTTGGTTGGGGACGTTCCTGCGTGAAGGCTCCCTTAATTTGTACAATTCGCCTCCAAAGCTAACTCAGCACCGTCGGGTTGGAAAACTGAGGAATCCCTGCTAAAGTGCAGGTGCTGCAAGTGGCGCACTCCAACACGTGTATCATTATCTTGTGGGGCCAAATACCGAAGGACGCTTGTCTCTAGGGAGAGCCAGTATGTTGTAGGACTGTGTCGGGTTATAGGAACTTTTTAGAAACGTGTAGAGAAAGCGAGTTCGCGTCTCTTCCCCTCAATGTCCTACGGCGCGCTATCGCATTATGCGCTAAACCATAACGAACTGAAGCGGTGTGGAACGGTGGCTGCTTGATGGCAACTCAGCTTCCTCATGTATGGTTTTCATGGCAAGTCGCCATATCACCGTGTGTGCTTCTGGGCGTTACAGGGAAAGGGCGAACTGCTAAGGATCAATTTGGCCAGGATGATTCGGCCAGGACATACCTCTGTCTTACAAATACAGGAACGCTTGAATCGACATTCATCACAACAGTTTAGTAGCAACCTACTGTGACGTCAACCTACTTTCAATACAGCAAGCGACGACCAATTATACTAGTAACATACGATCCCGCTCATAGATCCTCGCACCATCGCCCAACGATTCAATCCCAAGTTGCTTTCTCTCTACATTCCGCAATCCACGTGTAGCCTTCAGTTTGTAGCATTCCTCTTCGCAAGGCTCCCAAATGTGTCCCAAGCTCGAAGCAACTACTAGGAATGGTGCCGCAACTCGTAGGCGGCATGCTCCTCGTGATTGCGGTCTGCGTGGCGGGCAGCATCGCGCAGAAGGCGCTTGCTCCGCCGACGAAGGCGCAGCTGCGTGCGGAGTTGCAGGCGATGAATAAAAGCATCGTAAAGCGATATCCATAGTACGGCAGATACGAGCAGGACGCCTCCAAATACATCAACCTTACACGTAAGGGCCGTAATTCCTCCTAATGAATTCCCCTATCGGTTATACACGGAGTACTCCATAAATGCGCAGGACCTAACCAAATACATCAACCTCGCACGTAAGAACCCTAATCGCATCCATCCTCATGTACTGGTTATAGATGCGCGTGGGAATAGCAACTAGACCAGCAATCTCATCTTGCCTTACCAGATGCATCATGCGGGTAAGGCCCTGGACCAGCAACTAGGTTTCCAGCAACCTTGAATCAACTTGACCGTTCTTTTTCATTTCGTTCAAGACCAATTTGGCTCCCCAAACTCCCCCTTACCATTCCCCCCCACTCCCCCCTCCCATTCCCCTTCCTCCTCCCCCCTTTTTTTTTCAAGTTCACTCACCACTTGTATCCTCCTCTCTCCCCTCTCCCTCCCTCCCCCTTTCCCTTCGCTCACTCCCCCCCCAGTGAATTCCAAGTATGGCCTATCTGTCAACTTATACATATGTTGCTATGTAGAAGTTATAGGCTAGATAGTTGTATGTTGTTTGAGGGTACAACCAGAACACATATTTTCCCCCTTGTACCACTTGTATCATTCATTCTTTCTAGTTGACCTGGTATCAGAGCCGGCGGTCCGCCCTACTGGGCCGCCTCCTCAAGCTTCCGCCTCGTACCCCCCCCCCCCCCCCCCCCCCCTTCTCGTTACAGTACTTCCGTGCCGACATGGCGGCCGTGTCGTGCTGCCATGGCGGCCGTGTCGTGCTGCCATGGCGGCTTTGTCGTGCTGCCGTGGCAGCCTCGACGCGGCGCCATTGTCGTGCCGCCGTCGTCGCGTCAGCGCACGGGCGGCAGTGGGCCGCGCACTGGTTTAGGCACCAGGCAGCAAGCCCTCACTCCAGCTCGCCGCGCCTCCCCAGCTCGTCGTGTCGGACCTTGCTCGCCGCGTCGGACCCAGCTCGCCTCGTCGGTCCCAGCGGACCCAGCTCGCCGCGTCGGTCCGAGCTTGCCACGCCAGCTGGCCCCGCCCCGCCGCAGCTCAAGAAGGCCTAGCGCCTTCCTTCCCTGCAGTCACATCTGCTGCAGGGTATGGGGTGGCTAGGCTTAGAGGTGTTGCATGTGGGGTGGGCTTGTGACTACCAAGCCTAGGGGGTGTGTTAAATTATATCTTATATATAATTGTAGGCTTGGTAGGTGTTACTAAAACTTACTGTAAAGGGTACAACACCCCCTCCTTGTATCCCTCTCTTCTAATCTCACTCTTTTCTCTCATAACTTTCTCTTCTAGCTAAAACCTCTCGCCATCCATGGCCGCCTACCGTTCCTAGCTTTCGTGACACTATCGTCGCTGTGAGACGCTTCCATCCTCATCCCCAACCAACACGCAGGCAGAAGCCCTCGCTAAGAGGATCCCCGCTAAGAGCAGCAGCATCCCCACAGTGCACAACATCACAGCATTCCACATCCTGGGCAAGCGCATGACCATCCCGCAGCTGAGGCAGGTGAAGCAGAGGGTGGCGGTGGGCACACAGCTCAGGCAGCCACTGTAAAATATGACGGTGACCAACAGCAGCGCGGTGGCGTTTGCCAAATGGCCGTACCTGAAACAGGCACAGTGGACCACCATCCGCATCCCAGGGCTGTATGTGGGCCACTAGTTCATTGCCCATGGGGTTGACCGTGTGCTCATCCCCACCCATACCAAGATATGATGGGACAGTCGAAGTGGGGAAAGGGGGAGCGAAGCTTGAGAAATAAAAGCAAGAGGAGTCAAATGGTAGTTTGCAAATAGGGTAGGCTGCTCTCAGATAGTTGTTGCAGTGTTCTCGTGAGCTTGACGTGCTTGCAAGTCAATGCAGTGCGCCCTCCTAGTGCTGCAGCAATGCAACACTAGATAGAGCAGCACGAGAGTACGTATTTGGGGGTCCTTCTCGTGCTGGAATGCCGCACTGCATTGCCTTGCTACAGCTTTGTGATCAGTTCAGTATTTTGCAGCCTTTCTTGTGACTTGGAAAGTGGGATAAACATGCACTACAAATCCATACGTTTAGTAGTGATGCATGCCTTGACTTTATTCCGTTCCTCATCGTATGTGTACCTGGAAACGCGGTTATCGGAGAAAATGGGAGGAGCCAGGAATGCTGCTTGATGCTACACGTGTACCCCGTGAAACCCAGAAGGGTGAACCTCGAGAGAGATTGACACGTAAGGTACCATCCAGTTTGAACCTCTCTTCTCACGCCACGTATGTCAGATCTGATAAATGCACTCGGGCATTTGGCGAGGTGGTGCGACACAACGCTGGCTGAAAGCTGTGGCTGGTAACGTCTCGAATTTGCAACTCGAGACAAACGTGTCATCCCACTATATCGCACAAAAACGCACTATGAAACTTCTAGACCGCATGGTTATGGAGAAATATGCAAAGCCAATCTCAAACCATCAGGCTCTCCTTCCCTCGTTCCCACCAGGTGGTCGATTTCCCCTTACATCTCTCGCCATTTATAGCTCAATTTGCCTTCCTGCTTCAGTTGTTCCTCCCTTCCCTCTCTGCGCCTAGCTCGTTCATGAGTGGCATCATCACTCGCGCCGTCCGTGCAGTTGTCGCCCCTAACGCACTCCGTCTCGCGGCGACCGTCGCACGATCGTCTGTTGCACGCCAACGCTCGCACGTGGCGATGGCATCGTTTCTGTCCGTCGGGGGAGTGGGTCTGTCCGCGGGCGGACTATCAGCAGGAGTAAGACCGCGGCGCCTGGCGTCGTTGACTGGGTCGGAAATTGCGGGAGCAGCGGCTGTACCGCCAGCGCGCGGATATGCCCCGTTCGTAGGTGAGCGGAGCTAGAATTGAAATTCGGGGATCAAAATCAAAATATGGTCGAGAGTCGGTGGATGGTAAATCTCATCCGTGCCACGTTCGCCCTCTCTCGCGGAATAAGCATTTTTTTCTTCTCACCCGCCTTTCGGCCGCGTCATCCATGTTCGCAATTACATGCGAAATTTAACTACTCGTGCATAGCATGCACCAGCGCGCCAGTCCTACGCTATCTCATCCGCGCCGATAATCTCCTTCGGCCAATGAGAACGGTTGCCTTCTGAGAGTTCCCTACAAACTCTACGATTCACGTAAGAAAGATTAACACTAAGAATGTAATCAAGATCATGGTTTCTCAACTGTACCATAATCAGCGGCGGTTTCCTCGTCCGCCGCCTTCCGCCAGTCGGCGCAGCCCGCCTTGCGCCAGGGCGGGGGGAGTCGTGGCATGTCGGCGGTGGCGGCGCAGGCTGTGCGCGGGGAAGGCGTGGTGGGGCTAACCGTCTCGGGAAACGCCGTCCTGCCCTCGGTATGGTGCCACTCCCCTCCTTTTAGTACCATATGTTACTAGCATCCCTCTCACTCTTTGGGCGTGTGCCACAGTATCCACCTCCGTGACCAATAATCTCCTCCCGCATTCGTAGCTCTCCCCCCCGCACCTCTTCGTTTCCCCCCTCACTCTCCCCCTCTTCCCCCCTCCCTTCGCCGTCCCCTCCCCACGGTCATGCCAGGTGTCTGTCTCCTTCGACCCCTCCGCTGCTCCTCTCTCGCTGCCCTCCGATCTCCTTCTCCTCGCTGTCTTCGACTCCGCCCTCTCTCGCGACGACACGTCAGCAGCCAACTTCACCGGCTTCGTCGCTGACGCGCCAGGCGGTGCTGAGCTTTCATCTCTGGACTCGACGCTGTCAGGCGCCCTTGCTGAGCTGGCATCTGATCCCGAATTCAGAGCGAAACCCGGGCAGGTTTCGCAGGTTCTCCGCGTTCCCGGGCAGCCCTTCAAGAGAATCGCGTTGCTGGGTCTTGGAAAGACGGATGTGCTTATAAAGGGGGAGTCCGGCTCGTGGCAGGGAGTGGGATCCGCTATAGCAACCGCTGCCAAAACGAATCAGGCCAGCAAGGTATCCGTGGCATTCGTAGGCAAGCCCGAGGCGGCGGAGGGAGAGGAGATTAAAGCCGGAAACGCGGTTCGGGGGATAGTAACGGGCGCCATAGTAGGCAGCTTCGAGGACGTGCGGTTCAAATCGGATGAGAAGGAAAAAGCGAAAGCGGAGAGGGGTGTGAAGGAGTTGGTAGTGGTGGGACTAGGGGAGGGAGCGGCGCTTGAGAGGGACGTGTTTGTGGCTGAGAGGCTGGCCGCTGGGATCATCCTCACCAAGCAGCTCGTCAACGCGCCGCCCAATGTGCTCACGCCAGCTGTGCTCGCTGACGTGGCGGTGAATCTGACTGCCGCCCACTCGGACGTGCTGACAGCGAAGGTGCTTGAGAAGGCGGAGTGCGAGCAGCTGGGCATGGGGGCGTACCTGGCCGTGGCAGAGGCGTCAGCGGCTGATAACCCGCCCAAGTTCATCCATGTGACCTACAGGCCCGCTGCTGCTGAAGGCGCCGAGGAGAAGCCGCTGAAGAAGCTGGCGCTGGTCGGCAAGGGGCTCACCTTTGACAGGTACGGTGCAGTCTTTCCATGGTGGGGCCTTCTCACGGCCGATTCGCCTTGTGCTTGCCAGCAGTGCCCCACTCACTCACAAGGCACCACCCTACCTCCGCTGCCTTCCATCCCCACTTGACCCCTTGCGCCCACCCCCTTCCTGCAGTGGCGGGTACAACCTCAAGGCGGGTCCGGGCTCCATGATCCACCTCATGAAGTTCGACATGGGCGGCGCTGCTGCTGTCATGGGCGCTGCCAAGGCCATCGCTGCCATCCAGCCGCAAGGAGTTGAGGTGAGATGAGAGGTGGGGAGATGAGATGAGAGGTGGGGAGATGAGATGAGAGGAGGGGAGGTGAGATGAGAGGAGGGGAGGTGAGTTGAGAGCTTCTGACATGGGCGGTGGTGCTGCTGTCCTGGGTGCTGCCAAGGCGATCTCCGTAATCCAGCCACAGGGAGGCAGGTACGGTGAAAGGACGAGAGGTGATAGGAGGTCTGTGACATCCATTGCGGCAAGCCTGTGCCCCTTTACTCTCCCTACTCTCCCCGCCGCCCTCATGTTGCCGTGCAGCTGTGTCAGCATGTATGCGCATGCCCATATGTGGCAGATGTGACCTCTGCGTGTCCGTGTTGTCATGCCCTTACACTCTGAGCCACTCCATGCTGGCAGCAGGCACTCCACTGTGTACCGGGATTTGCAGGAAGCCCTCATGATAGTCATGCTGCATCTGTTTATTCAGCTGTCTACATACACTTGCAGGTGCATTTCATCATAGCAGTGTGAGAGATCATGGCCAGTGGGGCCAGCATGGATCCGCCTTGTTATTAATATCACTCCCTTTCTTTTATGTGTGTGCTTTGCGTGTGGATATTTTTATCACCCCCAGGTGCATTTCATCGTAGCAGCATGTGAGAACATGGTCAGTGGGGGCGGCATGAAGCCGGGTGACATCATCACTGCTTCTAACGGCAAGACCATTGAGGTGAGGAATACCTGTGATATGCTTCAAATGTAAGGCCATGCAGCACGTACAATAATCCGTACCGAGTTTATTAGAATTGGAGAAATAGCATTTACTATGCCGTGCGTTCAAGTGAACCAATGAGAGGGAAGAAATGAGACGAACCATGTATCTCCTCTTTCTATGCCTTTCCACCCGCCCGGCCCCAGGTCAACAACACGGATGCAGAGGGGCGGTTGACTCTGGCCGATGCGCTGCTGTATGCTCAGAAGCAAGAGGTGGAGAAGATTGTTGACATCGCCACCCTTACCGGCGCATGCATCATTGCCCTCGGGAATGACATTGCTGGTATGCTTTTGACATTGCTGGTATGCCATTGACATTGCGGTATGCCATTGACATTGCTGGTTTGCCGTCGGCATTGATGGGTGAAAGTCTTGGTATGTCATTGACATCGCTTCTATCAGATTGACATTGCTGTTACCAGATTGACATTTCTGCTATCAGGTTGGCTTGCTTCATTCAGATTGGCATTGCTGCTATCAGATTGGCATTGCTGCTGTCAGATTGGCATTGCTGCTGTCAGATTGGCATTGCTGCTATCAGATTGACATTTCTGCTATCAGATTGGCCTCGCTGCTGTCAGATTGGCATTGCTGCTGTCAGATTGGCATTGCTGCTGTCAGATTGGCATTGCTGCTGTCAGATTGGCATTGCTGCTGTCAGATTGGCATTGCTCCTGTCAGATTGGCATTGCTGCAGTCAGATTGGCATTGCTGCTGTCAGATTGGCATTGCTGCTGTCAGATTGGCATCGCTGCTGTCAGATTGACTGGTTCTAGCACATCCTTGCCAACACAGTGTCATGGGTGATGTTCCATACTGTGGTTGCCCATGGATCCGTACACAACCTTTCTAACTCTCATACACATGTCTCATGCTCAGATTCACTCTCTCAGGCATCCTCATTCCCCATGCACCCAAGCACCTACACCCTCTTCCTCCTCCCCACCCACCCATAGGCCTCTTCACGCCAAATGATGAAATAGCAGCGGAGCTGGAGGTCGTGTCGAAGGTGTGTGGTGACAAGGTGTGGCGCATGCCCATGGAGGAGGGGTACTGGGAGGGCATGCGCAGCAAACATGCTGACATGGTCAACACGGGTGGCAGGGAAGGCGGCTCCATCACTGCCGCGCTCTTCCTCAAGCAGGTGAGTTGTTTGGGACTCTGATCAATCCAGACATGGATGCATGTGAACATTTATGCAGCGCATACATACACAGCAGAGAGGGCGGTTCCATCAGTGCAGTGCTCTTCCTCAAGTAGGTGGGCTGTGGGAGTGGAACAACATTTGTCAGATGATTATGCCAGTTCTAAGATTGCACGTGACACTACATTCCTTCACTCTCTTATCTTCGACTCTCACCTTGCCTCACTTCCATGGTACCTCTGCTGTAGCCTCCGCTCCTCTCCATTTCTATCGCATCTTCTCCCCCCCCACCCTCAAACAGTTCATGGATGAGAAGATCCCATGGGCGCATCTGGACATCGCAGGGCCGGTGTGGAGTGAGAAGAAGGGCGGAGGCACTGGCTTTGCTGCCAGCCTGCTCTACTACTGGGTGGACTCGCACTCCTCATAGAGGGCAAGGGCATACAGGGCAAGGGCATACAGTGTGTTATAGGGTTTGGTGTTGTACTCTCTAAGAGCACAAACCCTTACAGCCTAGAACTATACATGTACAACAAATGTATAGATTGACAACGTCACCTTGCAATGCTGTTAGACAGTACGAGTATTCTCACTCCGAACCGGGATAGGACTTTAGCCGGTTCACTCATGTTGAAATGAACAACGTATTTATGATGGCCAGGATCTAGAGTTGGTGGAACCACGAGTAGAAAGTCAGCGGAAGACATAACACCTCGTATTGGAAATGTCCAAAATGACAAGGAGTATAATAATGAGAGATACTGGCATATTTATAGTCTAGGAAGTACCTACTCGGAATGTACTTTGTTCAAAGTGTACCGTAACTATTCGCGTGACATGACTACTGACTGTTCGTGTGACTGAGAGTGGCGTGGGCCTTCGAGTGACTATACGCCTGAACCAACTGTTCACGCGTTGACTCGCTACTGCTGACGTCATCACGCGCGTCTTTCCATATGAGGTAGCGCGCTACTAGTACAGTCTAAGTGTTATATCAGGAATGCATAAGTGATGACTCTATCGAGTATACTTCAACACTCCCCTTCATTCCTGAGTTGGTGTCTCTGGATAAGTGCCGCCTCATTTGCAGATTCCAACCAGGTTGGGGCAGTACTGAAACTTGCCGCGTGGGAGTTTCGTCGTCAGAAAATCAGCTGCTGCCACTTCTTCTGTAGGGCAGTATTTCACGATGGCCTTCCCCCCGTCGATTTCGTCCTTGACAAAGAAGTAACGAAGGGCGGTGTGTTTTGTCCTGTTGACGAAGCCGGGCTTGTTTGCAATCTTGACTGCACTCTGGTTGTCGCAGTGTAACTTGGAGTTACGGGTCATTCGCCTCTTGAAGTAACTCTTAAAGATAGAGTCTTTCGCGAACTGCAGAGCTTGTTGCGACGAATTCTGCTTCGGCTGATGCACGAAGTCGAGTGAAATCAGCACTTGGTGAAGATGCTGCTGCCACAGGCGAGGAGCCTGTTTGAAGCCGTAGAGTGATGGCGGCTGGCAGCAATGGCGAGAAGAATTCGAACTCAGGTATGGCGGTTGGCCAGAGCAAAATTATGGTCGTAATCGATTCCATGGGTTTGTTCGAAACCTCGAACGACCCATCTCCCCTTGAATATGTCTGGTTCGCATGCTGCATTTGTCTTTATGCAAAAGACCCACTTGCCCGAAATATTTTTCTTGCCGCGCGCTGCTTCGCGTAGAACGAGGTTCCACATTTTCCGCTTCTCGAGAGCTGCTACCTCTGCATCCATAGCTGCTTGCCACTTGTCAGCATCAGAGCCGGAGAGGGCCTGCTTGACTGTTTTCGGCTCGATCCCGGTCGTTGGTTGCTGAACTGCGACAGCAAGTCCAAGGATCTGAAGAGCCGATTGGTCAACACGATGATGAGGTTGGCAAACTTCGATGACGTCATCATCGTCAACTTCGGATGGCACATGGCGGGCACCGTCATGTGATGCTGCGTCAGTTTTCTGTCAGCACATGTGCTCCTCATAATTATAGGCAGCATGTGTTGTGACATGACGTACGTAACGGGTCAGAGAGTGGAATGAAGAGCGAGGTTTCTGTATTATTGGCACGTGTCGAAGGAATATAAGAGTCGAACAATGGTTCTGCTGCTGACGTAGACGGCTGCAGAACTGTAGAAGGTCCTGCTGCTGCGTTGTCGGGCGGATAATATTCTTGGGCTGCATCTGCTTCGTCTTGAGGGGTGGCGAAACTCCGTTCGGCACTGTAGCAATCACGAATCCCACTCCTGGCATTCCTTGTCACGTTCGAAGTCATCAATAAAAGTTTCTCTCAGAAGATGCAATCTCGGCCACACAAAATCTTTTGGGATTCGTAATCCATAATTATCCAAGAATGTGAATCCTTCGGTAAACCAAGATGTATTCCCTATCGAGCCCGTTCAGTGAATGTGCCCACAGTTGCCCTCGGAGGTCTGTATAGGACCATGCTGCCCCAAACTCGTAATAGTCGAGTGTCGGCGAGGTGTTTTGTCCACATGACGCATGGCGAGCTGAACTGAGGGAGAGTTGTTGAAGACAGGCAGTTGTGTAGTCTGAGAGCTTGCGCCATTGTTAACGGTCAAAAGTCTCCTGTCAAGTCGGACTCTTGCAGCAGTACGCACATCTTCACTTGCATTGTTTTGTTCGTCCTTTCAGCTACTAAGGCAAAGTCTTGCGCCTGAGAATCCCTTTCAGTTTGATGCTGCTCTGCCGCTCCGCGATTTTCAGCCATAACTTGAAGGCGTCGAGACCTTCAGACTTGTGAGAGATATTCTTGTGCCAGACATATCGAATAGTACCGTCGATGAAGGTAATTAATTAGTGGTAGTCGTTGCCGCTGATATCCTTTGCTTCCTGTAGCATGAAGAGTATGTCGCTGAAAACGGCGTCCATAGGTGATTACTTAGTAGCACTCGGAAAGTGTGACGGGAACGGAGCGTGACTTACGTGAGCTCTGGGGCAGATGGTGCAGGGTAGTTGACGACTGCTAGGTCGAAGCTCTTGGCCGTTGGTTAAAAGGAGTGCGTCCTTATATAAAACAGAGGCTTTAATCAAATTGTTAAGAGCTTCTTGCAAAAATGACCTAACCACTTGTGCCAGATTTCTGCAGTAGTTATGTGTCCCTTTGAACGTACTGTAGGTCCAAGTCAGAGTGAAGGAAGAAGGCTGGCGAAAGATGAATCGTTGGCGGCCAGTACCGAAAGGCTGGATGAATCTGGCTTCTTCTGCAGTTTCAACCCAAGTATGCCGAGGTGTCGACGACGCGCCCAAGCATCACGTGCAATTAACTCTTTCTTGCCCCATATGCAACCATAGGTTCTTCGAGTGTAGCAGATGTCGGTTCTTGATTGTCGTAACCCCTGTTTCCATTTCCAGATGCCCATGTACTGTGAGCTGTTCCTGATGCTGCTGATGCTGATTCTGTTGGGTCTGTTACGGGTTCGTCGAGGGAGCTGGTGCGAGAAGGCTGAGGTGTGACGCATAAGACATTGAGACCATGATGCCGACTAAATTGCATAGTAGCACATTTAATCAACACATTTAATTTCTGCGATGCCGACTAAATTGCAGTTGTCTTCCTTCTTGTCACCCAGGTACAAATCCGTGAGCATCGTGTTGGCAGTGCTGACGAGAAATATCCGCTTTCCATCAGCTGCGCTTGTGATAGTAAGTTGAAGCAAAGCCCCGTGGCGACGAGAACCTTATTAAGGTGAAGTGAAACTTCTGTGTCGTCGAACTCTAGTATCACATCTCCAATTCTGGTGGCTTCAATAAATTGTTTGTTGCCCGTATTTTTCTACTTTTGGCAGGTCTCGCCAGTTGAGGAGATAGCGACTTGAAGATGCCATGTGGTGACCGTAGCAGCTGTAAAAAAACCATGTGTTCACATGCTCTGTATACGCACGCTTGGCGATGTGGGCGTACGGCTGCACGTTCAACCGTCGAGAAAAATCGTTAGGCTACTCTAGTTCTTCTTCATCAATGACTGTTGGTTATGGAGTTTCTGAACGAGGACAAAAACGTGGAGGTATCTTGGCTAGTCCTTCTTCCATGTCACTATTCCTATCTTCATTGTCTCGTCGGCTCCAGTAGTGTAGACCACTAGACCTGTGTGGTCCAATCATGCAAGTAATGATTGCCTTGCAGGTTGAGTTGAAGAAGTTGAAGGTGGCGAGATAGTCTTGACAGGGGCGGCTTCACCTGTTTCTCCCGATTCCTGTTCTTTAGTTTGTGACTCTTCAATATAATGACCTGCTAGTTTATAGATCTTGCAGAAGCCCTTTCTTTCTTTTCTTGTCTGCTCCCATTGATTGGATGCACCTCTTTTCTGCTCCCCTTGACTTGATCCACGCGTAGAGAAGCTCAACCGACTCTTGGCTTTGCCTCCTTTCGCGTGGTACAGGTCCAAGTCCTACTGCTCTGCCATCAAAGTAGGGAAAGAGAAGTTTTTGAGATGTTCCCTTGGGATCAAAGAAGGGACTTGCAATGCCTCCATTCAGGTCCAAATATAGCCAGAAGAATAGTGACGAAGAGTTCATTGCTCAGATTTCTTCCGCACTTGCCAAGCTGGTCCCGAAGATTTATGCACCTGTTGATGTAGCTGTCGACTTTTTTCTCTCGGAAGCATTTGCATTGCTGTAAGTTGACTGAACAGCTTGCTCTATGAAACGGAATCTTGTGCTTGATACAACCTTCGCAAGTAATCCCATGCATAGAAGGCTGGATCGAGTGAAGATTTGAAGCACTAAACTCCCAACTGCTCTACCGGTGAGAGATTCCGCACCAGTAGTGTATATGCCAGAAGCGAATACTTGTAATAACGCGCCTGTTCTTCGGTCGTTCCTAACTCTGGATAACGAATCAAACCGTCGAAATTTCCCCAGATACCCGAAGATTGCATGAGGAGTTTGAACTCGAATCCCCAACTATAGAAGTCGTGGCCATCAAAGTAAGTTGAGGTCTTCAGCTTGGAGATAGTTAGGAAATCCAATTGATTTACGACAATTTCTGCAGCAAATGATATTTCTTCCGCCATTTGATGTTATTGCTGCTATGGTTGTTGTAGCTGTGATTGAGCAGATTGCCCATGGAAGGCAAAAGTCCTAGCGAACTCATCTCCAGGGGCTGAAGGCCTAGTGGCAACATCAGCTCTTGCATAACTAGAGCTATCAAGGCTCATAGAAGCTGTAGGATGCGCTGGAGCTTGTTGTTGTTGCTCAGTAGACTGATTAGCCATTAAAGAAGCGAAGTCAGATAGATCGTCAGTAGAAAGACCAGAAGAAGGGGAATTTGTAGTTAAATTTTGTGTCTCAACAACTGACAAACTTATAGATGTATAATTTAAGCTTAAGGGCATAATCGGAATCAGCTTGTATTGGTTCCTGTAACTCCACTAGCTCAGAATACCATGTTGAAATTAACCATGTGTTTGGGGTGGCCAGGATCTAGAGTTGGTGGAACCACGAGTAGAAAGTCAGCAAAAGACTTCACACTTTGTATAGGAAATGTCCGAATTGACAAGGATAACTCCTAAAGCGTGTGCATAACTGTCAAAGTAGCGAAGTGAACTCTAGTAAGGAATACAGGGTCATATAAGGGTTTGGTGTTGTATCCTCTAAGAGCACGACCCATCTAGCCTAAGTGTACTACGTGTACTAGCACAGAGGCTAAGTGTACTACGCGTGCCTGGCTGCG